GAATACGTTATCATTCACCGTTTTCACATAAAACGATACACCTGATGTGAACTCACCTTTAAATTTAAATTTCTGTTCAATAACGCCCCGAGAATTTTTTTTGGTAATGTTAATATTGGTTTCACACGTTACTTTGTTTAAAATAGTCAAATCTGGCCATATGTCTAGCTGAAAATTTTATATCTCCATTGATTTTTAATGTTCTTTTTTACCCATGACTGTGTTGTCTGTCGTCGACGCTACTTTTTCAGTACTCTTGAATTTTGACTTTTTATTCTTTTTTTTTAATTTTACAATGCGAGCTCTAGTCTCCCACTCTCCCACCATCGAAACATTTTTTCTTAAAAAGGCAGTTACTCTTGAAATGTATTTCGCCGTATCCATAACATGGATTTGGTTTTGTAAAGTATTTTATTTTCCCATCTGCTTTGGGACAAACTGAATTTATTTCAAATACATCTCTTTCCTCAATTCTATATCCGTATCGTGTCGTAAGTTCACTGTTCTTTAATACTCTTCAATTACACCTTGCAATGTCAATTTTGAGTCTTGTTCAAGCTTAATCCAAATTCTAGAACGGATTTCCGCATCACTGTTTGCTGTCAGCCCTTGTACAAAGATCAAACACCTAAGCATGTCGTGTATTAGTTCGCTTAACTTGAACTTTTCACCTTCTCTGTTTATGGCACTAGCATAAATTGTATAATCTTCATATTCTTTTTTACAAGATTTAGGCACTGCTAACATGTAGTGAAGTGTTATGGTCCGGTTCCTTGTACCACGGTGATAGTCCAAGGTAGAACCAATAAAGAAGAACTCGAACACGGATATGGAATAACACAGATATATTACAAACAGGAATATATAAAGAGAAGTAGAAAGTGTTAGTACGAACAATCAGGTTTAGTAGTAATTGTCTGAACGCGACTCTGTTTCGGACTGCCTCTGACTCGACTGACTGACTCGCTAGCTCTGACTGACTGACAGACTTCTGACGGACCTCACGCCAGACTTCAGACTGAACGATATTCATCACCCTCCCACAAGGCCTTTTTAATGTGGGAACTCCGAGCCCTTGGGCTCGGCCAAAAATATGCCCTTTGAACCCGTGTAAACGGGTTCAGGGTCGGTTTACCTCCCCGAAAGAGAATACGCCCTTCGGCGTCGCCTTGTTCGGGTTCCTCCCCGCCCGAAGGCAATGAGTTCAACCGATCAGCCGGTCAGCCGGCCGCCCGACTTCAGACTGAATGATATCCAGTCACCCTCCCACGAGGACGTCATGTGGTACAAGGCCTTTTTAACGTGGGAACTCCGAGCCCGTGGGCTCGGCCAAAAATATGCCCTTTGAACCCGTATAAGGCGCAGTATTTATTACGTATGGTATAGTTCATTATGTTATTATGGGTAAGGTCCCCTAACATGAAGAATGAACTTCGTTCACTGAAAATTTTACTTAACGACATAATAGTTTCTTTAAACGACAATTTACTCGATTTTTCAGCAGGATGTAATTCACCTATTTTTCGTATTCCCTCACACTTTTGTTCTTTCGGTCAGCTTATACAGTCTTTTGTAAAATTTCCTCATAGTGTCTTTAGTACGCCGCTCTTCATCAGGGCAATATTTAAATTCTCCAATTACATTTACTTTGAATAATGCGAGAAAAAAAAGGAGGGATGTTTTTATTACTTTTCATAAAAAAGTTCTATTTTTTGCTGCTGTTCTTTTTTGTCTCAACAATAATTCCAGGAATTGTTGTTGCTGTTCCTGTTGTTGTTGTCACTGTTGTTTTATTAATTCCAACATTAATGCTTTCAAGTTCTCCATTTGTAATTGTCTGACTTGAAAATTTGCTTCAGATGTTTTAATGTCCCATTGTTTCCGGCGGAACTTTGCTTCTTCGACGTACTGATTTCACAAGTACAAGGAATTTTTGTTCATCACTCTTATGATAAATAGTCATCATCCTCGCCGACAACTGTTGTGATATGGGGTCTAGCAAGACACAACACTCAACAAAGTCAGTCGTGATAGTAGTAATTAATACTCAGCTAAACCAGTCACTGCAATAGTATTACCTTTTTTTTCTTCCTAGACAATTACCCAGGACTACTTATCATGAATGGATCAGTTCATCCATGAAAGTAAGATGGGTTTTACCACAAAAGTAAATTTAAAGCCAACATTTTTATAATTGATTAAAACATTAGATTAGAGAGAATATTTTCCTATTTTTAAAGATTACTTGGTAAATAAAAATTATAGAAAAAAAGCGCTCACGTCATTTTCTTCAATTACATTTACAGATAAAGCCCTCGTAGAAAAACATTAGATAAACAGCTATCTATCAGCAAGCTGTCAGCATATCAATATCTTAGATAAACTGCTACAGTTATGTTAAAAACGTATTTCTGCAATATTTTAAACTTAAAGTAAATAATATTTGTTTCAAATCAGATTAATTATACTTGAAATCAGCTAATATTTCTCAAGTAAAGTTTCAGAAAAGTATATTTCATTTTTGGAAGATTTTTAATAAAGAGGATTATATTCTGATGATAGGTGGTTAAAAACAGCGGTAAAATAAAAAAAAATGATTCAGCGATTTCAAAACGAAACTCCTTCCAGTCAATTTAAATTAGATTTGAGATACAGTAAAGTGTTTTGCTTATTGGAATTATTAAATTTAATTTATTAGTTTGAAATTAAAACTAAAATAAAAGCTTCAAGAAAATTTTTCATTTTTAAAAATTAATTTTTAAAACTTAGGTATCATGAATCTATAAAGGTACGTATTATATATTAATAATAAATATACATTTTTTCATCACCGGTAGCAAAACACAATCTTCAGGGGCTGAGTTAACCCTGACCCTTATATAATTTAAATTTTGATAGACATACAGGATTATCGTAATAGTGGGGGAGTTCACATTATTTATGGCGATTAAAGTATTTACGGGGATTAAATGCATAAAATAAAGATACACATCTGAGTAATTATAAAAATAATTCAATGTTGTTAGCAAATATCATGAAACATCTACATATGTAAAATATATGGAAATATTTTATTGACACCAGCACTCAGTGTGCGATATTATGCACACACACTCATATATATATATATATATATATATATATATATATATATATATATATATATAATTATTTACTTAAAAACTTATAACATAAATATGTTATAAAATCACTACAAAATAGCCATTTTGTTTCGACACCTTTGGTGTCTTATGAAGTGATGATGTTGGATATATATATATATATATATATATATATATATATATATATATATATATGTTTATGTATGTGTGTGTGTGTGTACTGATTCCTTGTAGTGGGACGGTGTGTGTGGGGGGTGTATGTGCAAACTTTCTTTACTAATTCCTCGTAGTGAGACAGTGTGTATGTATGGAGAGGGAATATACACATATATATACGCATGCTGACAGAAACACACGAAAATGGAAATAGATCTAAGAACACACAGGGGTCATTAAAACATTAAAAGATAAGATATCGTTAACTAATTCATCATTTTTCTCGGACCAATCTTAATTGTTTTATGACTCTTCGCGCAGAACTCTTCACTGCCAGTTCAAGAAAGACATTCGGATTACTAACGCATAAAAAGAAAATGTCTCATATCGAGAATATTTAATATCGAAAAACATAAAGGAGAAAAAAATAATTATTTGTAATCTCCACCCTTTACCTGATGACGGTCGCGAGACCAGAAACCCGTGTAGAAAAATTATGGAAAATCAAGCATAATATATTTTTTAAAAAGTCCACATTACAATCAAAAACGTTTTCGGTTTCTCTCTTCTTTTTAATATACACACTTTTCTCTCGTTGGAACTACTATAACCTCTTCCTTATATATATATATATATAAGCTATGGATAGATAGTAGGACAGAACAGACTGGCCTTGGATAGCAACTGGTCTAGTAGAAGGCTAACTCTGAATTCAAAATCTGCGGTGACCTTGTGGCACTCTGTATTCAGCCCTTCAAAAAGTGTGGTTGGTTCTGCATAAAGCCTTCACCACGAGAATCAAATCATATGTGCTGGTGTTTGGGCTTTCGGTTCCTAGGAAGTGAGCTGCTTGACCAAAGCCTTGTGAGTGGATTTGGGTAGACGGAACACTTGAGGCCGTCGACAGCTCTGCTAGCACGAAGTCACAAGTCATCGTGACGGAGGGTTTGAGTGTGCTGGTACTGTTCGGATCGTTGATCATTCTAGATAACACGATCTCTCCCAGCAATTGTATCAAAGGTTGGCTCTGTGGGTATTGCTATCATAAATGTGAACTGACTGTATTTTGTTTTAAGGCTGGGTGTTATTCTTTTTATCATTTTATTAGCTTTTTCTTCTTTTATATCCTTTTTCATATTCTTTTGATTGTAAGTGTTTTACCACTTAATAATAAGGAGAGGCTTTTATAAATTGTTTGCAAATGTGAGGAATTTTTGTATCTTATTTCATCCTTTTGTATTTTTTAGCTTTTTAAGATCCTTTTATTTTTACTGATCAAACAAATCTTCATTTTAGAAGTAAGAAGAGATGGTCGTCTTCTATAAAGAAGTGGCAATCATCATATATATATATATATATATATATATATATATATATATATATATATATAGGGTATTGAGGCAGCAGATCATTATTTCAACATTGTTAAATGTAACAGACAATTATGTTTGATGAGGAGCCGTTCTAAAGTCCGTATATTCCGCGATTGTTATCATTGCACAGGAATCTTCTATGTCAACATAACAGAATATCATTTTTGAGGGTTCATACTAAATAGTGTTTTTTTTCTTTTTGCTCTCTGAGGTGAATTTCAAAACCACCGGGTGTTAATTACCCCAGTGCGAGAATTAACACTCCTTTCGTTGCGTCACCCAATAAATCTTTTTATGACCTCTTCTTTTTCCTTTTCCCTTTTCCTTTTCGGGTCAGACGACAACAACTCTAAGTCGGGAGGAGCGTGAGTGAAAAGACTTTTTCCCCTTTGTCTTGTTTGTGCGTTAATAAGAATTTATATAAGGGAATATCCAAGAATATAATATTAACTGTAGAAGAAGAAGAAGAAGTAAGAGAAGGAGGAGGATGACGAGTAGAAGAAGAAGAAGAAGAAGAAGAAGAAAGAGAAGGAGGAGGATGACGAGAAGAAGAAGAAGAAGAAGGAGGGAAGGGGAAGAAGATGAAAAAGATGAAAAAGATGAAAAAGAAAAAAGAAGAAGAAGAAGAAGAAGAAGAAGAAGAAGAAGAAGAAGAAGAAGAAGAAATGTGTGACTGGTGTTAAATACCGAATTTACAATACAGAATATAGGCCATAAACAGTTTGGCTGTTCTTGTGGAAGACGAGAAATCTTTTCACCTGACACCGCATGTATAATCCTAAGGCCCATGTTGATCGTCTGTATATTTTCAGATCCTCAGGAGACAGAGGATTACTTCAATTACAACCGTCTTACAAAAACACAGCAATCGCTCTTCAAAGATACGTGGAAACTACAACACCAAATTTATTGTCTAAAATTTCTTATCTGATTTGGGATAATTTTGATGTGCTGAATCCAAAAAATCACATTGGTTTTTGCTCCGTCAGATCAACTTGTTTAACTATTGTCACATGCTTTATTTGCGTTTTTTTTACATTGTCATGTCCATTGAAATATCTAAATATACAGCGTATTTCACACAATAAAACTAATTATTATGTTAATTATAAACTTAATTTTAACCCATCAGAAGAATTTTCGGCCAAAAATACCGACATAATTATTAAAACACGCCTCCAAAATATTTATACATCAATAACACGCAATAAAGCGTTTACATCTCAAAACAAACCAATTAAACTGTACCATACTAAACCATAGAATACAAATCAGAAAGGCTGTTTTATTAATCATTATAATTTAGGTATACCGCCTAAATAATGCGCGGACGTAGTAGTAAGCATACCGCGTGACTTTTTAGAGCCAATTCGGAATAAGTAAAATTATATAATTCAGGAGCCAATTTTTCAGTAATAACGATGTAAAAATTACGTTGTTTTGACCTCAACGACAGGGTATTTCAGATTCCTGCAAATCATTGTGATGAAATTCCAATAGCTGTCTTTGAAGAACTTCCTGACATTAGTGAGGAAGATTTCCCCAGGGAGGAGAAGAAGAAGAAGGAGGAGGAGGAGGAGGAGGAGTTGCATTGACGAAGAATCTCCACGTCCTTTTTCGCAAAAGGAACTAAATGATCTAGTTTGCGAACTCAGCTTCTCTACCGAACTGTTGGCATCAAGAGAGAAGGAAAAACCTCCTCTCTGACAGTGCTCGCATCTCCTTCTACTTCAAAAGGAAACAAGAGTACCTCCATTTCTTTCTCTGAAGAGAAGGGCTTGGTTTACTGTTCGAGCTTGTCCGGTTAGCGTCGCGGAGACGGCAACTTGCGCCTCGCGGCGGCTTAGGCCTCAGCCTTTCGCTGCCACGCGGGTTATATTTGTTTTCTCTCGCTTTTACCTCAACTTTTGCTCATCCATGACTGCTTTTGTCTTTCTTACCATCGCGCTCCCTAACGCCGTCATGCGGCCTTGTGCCATATTCGGTCCTCGTGGGTGGAACGATAAATACTCAGATATTGCGTAGCTTCTGCACAAAATTGAAGTGCCACAGTACGAACCCAAAGATTGGAGTCTGTTCATTGACAGCAGCAAGCGGTCACGGAAAAGTGTTTTGCGACGAGTTTGCCTCTGTACCCCTCGCTCAGCCGTCTACACTGAAGGAGAAATATGAAGCAGTTAAGTATATGTGGAAGAAAATTCATTATAATCAGCATGAGTAGTTTATTTACGTCGACCTGAAGGTGTTGAAATTTTTGTTGGGAAAACAGTCCGGGTTCATCAAGCTTCTTTAATTTCTGTGCTTGTGTTATACTTGGGACACTGCTCACGAAAAGTGATTGGCCTCTTGGGGAGGGAGGGGGAACTGACGCCTTGCAGAACAACAAACGTCATCAATAAGCTTTTAGTAAACAGAGACAGGGTACTTTTTCTACCGCTGCATATCAAGCTCGGTTTGAATAAGCAGTTCACCAAAGCTCTGGACAAGGATGATCGTTACATCACTTAATTGTACCAGGCTTTTCGAGGATTCACGACGAAGAAGTTCAAATCTAGCATCTTTGATGATCCGAAAATCCGTCAGCTCATCAGAGATCCAGAGTTTCAAAACCCCAATGTACGAAATAGAGGCGGATGCATAGAAAGGCTTTTGTTCTGGTCGTGGAGAACTTTCTTGGCAACAAGGACAGAAACTCTACAGAACTTGTCATCAATATGCTGACTACTTTCAGAAACTTCGGATGCAACATGGTCATCAAAATGCATTATCTATTCTCCCATTATGGATAGGTTGTCCGACAATCTGGGATCAATGGGTGGGGGGATTCCATCAGGATATGAAAGAGATAGAGACCAGGTCTCAGGGACGTTGGGATGCAGTCATGATGGCTGATTACTGCTGGACTTTGAAGAGAGACACCCCTGCCGATGATCATTCGAAGGGTTTGAATAAACGGAATTTCAAGTCATGAATTTTGAACAACGATGTCGTAACATACAATTTGCATGTCCTTGCTGTTCAATTTATTCTAATCGATGTTTGTAAAATTTAATTAATATATTGTGTTAGAAAATATTTTTTATCTTATTTCGTATGAGAAATATTACCAAAATTCAATCGATAATGTCACAAAAATGCAATCAATTTAGTCAGAAGATCGGATTTTTAAAACCTCAACTTAGCACAAAAACATGACCTGATCGAGAGAAACGGATGTCATTTTCGTATTCAGCGGTGAAAATTGCCCTAAATCATTGGGAAAAATATAGACAAATTGATTATTTTTTGTCGCACAGTGATCTGTGTCAAAGAACATGAAAGAAATAAGATACTTTATTCTGTAATAAAGGAAACCAACAAATTCAAAATGAACTTTCAAGTTAATAGAAGAAGTGCAAATAAAGCATAATAACCCAATTTCAGCACCAAAGAGAGCCTAAAAAAGAAGGTAAATTCATGCACCAAATATAAAACTCAGCAGGATAGTGTGGGCTAATATCTGAACTGAAAAATATGCAACTTTTACCGGAAGGAAACTGCAAGAAACTGGCATGAACATCATCCAGACCTGGTTACAGAGATAGGAACTGTAACAATTTTATGGGACTTTACAAGACACGCAGACGGAACAATCAGCTAATCGTATAGGCAGAGTCATCAAAGTCGACAAAAAAAGAATGTACTTTCTGTTTGACATGGCAGTTCCTGCAAACTGTAATGTAGTTTTGATTAGAGCTGAAAATGCTGTAACATCATTAAAAACCTCCATAGAAATAATTAGTGATTGTTTGCTAATAGCCGTGGTCTTAATAAGCGTTCTGTCAGAATTTAATCTGTTTACAACCATAATTACACAGAAAGACAACCTAGTAACATTTATTGAATTTAAAGTATTATTTTAAAGCTTTGAAGAAACTGAAATGATGATTAAGGAGAATAATAGTGAAAATACCGTAATGTCTGTCAGAATGCAAAGGCCAAGACCAAAGCCATACACTAATAATATTCCTACCTGTTTTACATGTGGTAAATCAGGGCCTAAAAGCCTTGATAGCCAAAGCAAAATTTGGAATTATCCAATAAATAATTTCTTCCCTTGGTACCATTTTGCATTGGTTAGGTATTTCATAGGATAAATTTGATATATTGGTAACTAATCTCACTATGCAAAGCAAGTTCCGAAAGTATTACTGATTATATTATTAGAGCTGAAAATGCTGTAACTTAATTAAAAACCTCCAGAGAAATAATTAGTGATTGTTTGCTAATAGCCGTGGTCTTAATAAGCGTTCTGTCAGAATTTAATCTGTTTACAACCATTATTACGCAAAAAGACAACCTAGTAACATTTAGTGAATGTAAAGTATTATTTTAAAGCTTTGAAGAAAGTGAAATAATGATTAAGGAGAATAATAGTAAAAATACCGTAATGTCTGTCAGAATGCAAAGGCCAAGACCAAAGCCATACACTAATAATATTCCTACCTGTTTTACATGTAAATTAGAATGTTATGATCATTTATCTGAATTTTGCTCTAATGTGTCAACACCAGTTCTTAGTTTTTTTTAGCCTTTTTACCTTATTACTGTTGCTTTGTCTTGCATATATTGTTTGCTTACTCAATATTATTTTTTGCCCTTTTCTTTTCTCTTGTTTCATTATATTTTACAACTTTTTTTTGGCGGGGGGTGAGCAGTTTTGTCACTTATATTTAATCATGGCCACTAATTCTACACGAGGGAATGAGAAAATTTATTCATATTAGGATTAAACTAGACGAATTACCCGCGCCTTACTGCATGTCACACATTTTTTTGTGAGAAAATGATGATTGATTTTAAATCATTGTTATAATTTGTAGAGAAAAATGATGCATTTCAATATTACTTAATGATTTTGCCAATGTGACCTCTATCTACTGGATATCTCCTTCTGTATCTTGGGAAGTACTCATTCCCTTGTTCAAAAACAGATTGATCTGACCTCTTTGATATGTATTTGATGCAATACTTGAGACTAGATGGGTCACCGCTTCGGAACACCAAGAGGCTTCGATATGCGGGTTGTTTAATGATTAATGGCTCGGAATTGTTAATCGGAGAGTCGAGTTCCAATTCCAATGAATTCACCTCTTCTCCCACACCTATGGGTTAATTAGTATGAATAAATCATTATTATCTAAAGAAAAAAAAACATTCTTACTATCTAAAAATATTTTCTGGCTTTAAATAACGAGCAAGGGGTCGATAAGCCGTAAGAAAACGAATCAGTTTTTAACAGATTATTTAAATACATAAGCACTGGCTACAGATGGAGTTCTCTAGAGTGCTTTAGGAGGGGGAGTAGCTTACAAAATTTTCACGTATTTTGTGTAAAAGGTGATGTGAATATTGTATCTGTTGGTAACGTGCAATAATACATGCAAAAATAAATAGTTGCAGAAGAATATATATATATATATATATATATGTGTGTGTGTGTGTGTGTGTGTGTGTGTGTGTGTGTATGGCAGTCGGCACCCTCCTGATCCTCTTCATGTTGACGATTGAACTTGAAAGTCTCGGATGGTCCTACGCCAGAAAGGCTGATTTGATATATATATATATATATATATATTGAAATGAGAGCAATAGCAGATGGAGCAAAATTCCACTGTTCATAGTATTTAGTGTTAAGAAAATGCTGAATACAAAGTATAGCAATATATTATTATTATTTTTAATTTTAAAGGTTGTAATAAAAACACGTTGAAATCGATAAACAAAAGCTTTCATGTTTCAATACTTCCTCAGGAGATAAGTACCATCATACTATTGAAACATGAAAGCATTTGTAGTAATTTCAACATGTTTTCAATCTTATAATATATATATATGATAAGAATGAAAACATGTTGAATATATATATATATATATATATATATATATATATATATATATATATATATATATATATATATATATATATATGTGTGTGTGTGTGTGTGTGTAATGGAATTATTTATTACTTCAAATGTTATTAAAATGCATCATAACATTATTTGAAATAGATGCTCCATTTTCTATTTCAAACAGATTAGAGATATTTTAATCCTAAAAATGTGCAGGGATCGAACCTATCCGTACCCCTTTGTAGAAAAAAACACCAGTGTGCTTTACCATCCAGCTACAGAGAGCGTAACAGTCAGCAAGTCTCTATTTTCCCTTTAAGTAAAGCACACTTCTTCATTCAGATATTTTTATGAAACACCTGCAACTGCTCACTTTCGTATCTGAAATGTAAACAAAGAAATTTTTGAAGACTGGATTTTTTTATTCATTCAAACGTTATTAATGAGAATACTCATATTTCAAATACACCGGATGTTTTTTTTTTTTTTTAAACAGTGTCTATTGCGTCTATACACGAACGCATTCGAAGAATATTAAATTTGCTCTCCAACAGGGATCGAACGTAGTTCCCTTTGTAGGAGAAACCATCGTTTGCTGCGGCTTGCTTTACCACTTGGCTTCACACTGCCTTGCACTTCAGCGAGAGATACGAAAAATTAAAACAAAATAGATGCAAAACAAACGGACGATTTTTTAAACAAATACAAAACAGATCATTTTTTAACAAATGCAAAACAGATCATTTTTTAACAAATGCAAAACAGCCATACGTTTTTTAACAAATGCAAAACAGACCTACGTTTTTTTAACAAACGCATAACAGACCTACGTTTTCTTTAATAAATGCAAAATAGACGTACGTGTTTTTGACAAATGCAAAACAGGCGCACGTTTTTTAATAAATGCAAAACAGCTGTACGCTTTTTAACAAATGCAAAACGGACGTACGTTTTTTAACAAATGTAAAACGGACGTGCATTTTTTTAACAAATGCAAAACAGACGTATGTTTTTTAACAAATGCAAAACGGACGTGCGTTTTTAACAAATGTAAAACGGACGTACGTTTTTTTAACAAATGCAAAACGGACGTGCGTTTTTTTAACAAATGCAAAACAGACGTACGTTTTTTAACAGATGCAAAACAGATGTAGATCTGTTTGAATGCAAAGTACCTTTGTTTAATGTAAGCACGTTTCGTTTAATCTTTATTTCAAGTACCTCTGTTTTACATTTGTTTTAATTTTTCGTATTTCTGAAGGCGTCTGGTTTAGATCTGCCTTTGCATTTGCAAAGATGTCTGTTTTTCATCTGTTTTGTTTCTTTCTGTAATTACGACTCTTTTGCATCTGTATGGTCGGATTTCTTTGTATTTGTATGTCTATTTCACATGTTTAACGCACATCTGTTTTGTTTGAATTTTTGTATATTTAATTACCCCACTTTAACAACTTTAACTGTAATTGGATCTGTTTAATATCTTTTAAGTTTTACTTGTTTAAATATCTGTAAGACCATCTGTTTTTCATCTGTTTAATTCGAATTTTTATCTCCAATTACATTTCTGTAGCAACTGTTTCTGCATCTGTAAGTTTATCTGTTTTTTATCTATTGGGTCTTATTTGTTTAAATATCTGTTTTGTTTGTAAGCACATCTGTTTTGCATGTTATCGTTTATATTTCATCTGTTTAAATTTTATATTTCATTTGTGTTGCATATGTTATCTTTTATATTTCATCTGTTTAAAGTTTTATATTTCGTCTGTTTTGCATATGTTATCTTTTATATTTCTGTATGTGAATTTGTTTTGTCTCTTAAAGATACAGAAAACACATTTGAAACATACAATACTTACAGACATAAATTAAGCAAAACAGATACGAAAACAGATGAACTTACAAGTAGAAAAACAGACTCCCAAAAAGATGTATTTAGGGATACAATCACAAAACAAAATAGATTCTAAACAGAGATGGAAACAAATGTAAAATAGTTGTATTTAGAGTTACAAACAGAAGCAAAACAGACGTCCTTATGGATACAAGCAAATTAAGCAAAACACATGTTAAAGAAATGTACTTAAAGATACAAACAGAAACAAAACAGACGTTCTTACGGATACAAGCAAATTAAGCAAAATAGATGCTAAAGAAATGTATTTACATATACAAACAGAAGCAAAACAGACGTTCTTATGGATACAAGCAAATTAAGCAAAACAGATGCCAAAGAAATGTACTTACAGATACAAACAAATAAAAAAAATAGTGGCAAAGCATACGACATTATGGATAAAAAACATTCTTAAATTCTTTCAGTTTTAATGTCAGTGAATTTATAAATATAAGCAAATGTTCAAATACAAATATTATCATGGAATAATAGATAGAACATTAAAAAAAACAAAAAACGAAATCTGTATTCCGGCTTCAAATCCGAATTAATATGGTTTCGAATCAAAGTGTGTCTAACCTAATACGCACGCGCGAAGTGACGAGAAATAATCAATTTGAGGATACACGTTATGAGATGCACAAAGCAATAAGATGAGTGGTTTGGTGTGGTGTGAGGGAATAAAGACTTTAAAACCAAAAATATTAGCAAATAAGAATTAATTTTTATTTATTATTATTGAATAATAAAAAAAACAGCTGGGTTGGAATTGTGTCGCAAGGGTTGATGACACAGAATATAACCAATGACCTTGTCACGTTGTGACTACCTGATTAGTGTGTGTGTGTGTGTGTGTGTGTGTGTGTGTGTGTGTGTGTGTGTGTGTGTGTGTGTGTATGTGTGTGACACAATAAGAGAAGGTTGAGACAAATAATATGGAGAGGAAAAGAAAAACGGAACGAATGAGAAAGAGGGGGCAAAGAGAGAGAGAGAGTGAAAGTGAGAGAGAATGGAGTAATTTTGAGAGAGTAATCGTCATCGGTAAGATAGTCGGGGTGGGATGTGATATAACGATCAGAGAAAGAGAGAGAGATGGGGGGTAGGTAGTCAAACGGAGAACGGGGAGGAAGGAGAGGCGGTGCGATCTGAGAGGAAGCGGAAGGGTCGGGAAGAAAAGAGAGGAGAAGAGGGCGATGTTAGTCTGCGAAGAAAATGAGGGCGGGAGGTATGAAGAAGAGGGGGTTGAAAAACGCGGAAGAAACACCAGAGGGGGAGAGAGAAGACTGGAGATGGTGACGCGACTGCGTGACGTCACGTGCACTTAAAGTTTGCCATGCCACCATAACATTTGTTCTCTATCCGGCTTCCATATTACCCAACCTTCTAACTCCATTATCTCTCTTCCAATTTCTTTCTTTTCTTTCATGCCTACCCACATTAAAGATCTCCAAACTTTTCACCAACCCAGCCACCTGACACAATTAGCGTCTCTCCGTCACGAATACCCTCTTTCTACCCAGAATAATTCATCCATATCTCGATCATTCTATTTCGAGGCACCCGCTTAATCCGTTTAGGGTACCAGTAGCCACTTAAAAACAATTGTATAATTATATAATTATAACCAAATTAAAGATTAAACAAGCGAAGTTGTTATTGTTGTTATTTCTTTAGATTTCTGTTGTATACACATTTTCCTTCTGGGCCCCAACCAGAGACCTAAGGTCAGAAATAGATTCATAACATTTTCCGCTAATCATTTTTGTATAAAACGAAAACTAAAAAATTATTAATATTATCATTATTATTATTATTATTATTATTATTATTATTATTATTATTTCCTTTGATTTCTATTTTATACACATTTTCCTTCCGGGTCCCAAACAGAGACCTAAGGTCAGATATGGCTTCATGACATTTTCCACTGATCATTTTTGTATAAAACGAAAACTAAAAAAATATTATTATTGTTGTTGTAGCATACCTACGGACAGGTATGTCGCCATTCACATAAACACAGTAGTAAATACTGTATGTTGGTCTGCAGTTGGAGATTCGTCTCTAGCTGTGCTGGTCAAACCCTCTGCCTCCGGGCAGAGAGGATCCCCAGATGAGGCTATGTCTCGTCTCGGGAAACAACTACCCAACCCCGTTTTATACGAGGAATTTTTGGCCGAGCCTACGGGCTCGGATACTCCACATTAAATTCGACCTTGTGCCACATCTGACCGCTTGGTGCGATTGATAGATATTCTCCGGTTGGAGATTCATTGTGGAATTCACTTGACTTAGTTGACTACTTCTACGCACCGCTGGCGAATCTTATATGTGTTGTTCTTGTCCTAAGTATTATCGTCCATTACCAACATTCGTTTGATTATTCTATTAAGTAACCTTCCCTAGGTTACAACAATTATTATTATTATTTTTATTATTATTATTATTATTATTATTATTATTATTCCCATTTATCCTGATTTACAATTCTAATACAATACAATTATTTACCAAGTCACTTACCTGAGACCTGAGGTAAAAGAAGATTTTTACTTAAAAGTTATTGGGCATATTACTTTGCGAGAGATTTTCTCAGTATGTGAACGGTCCCCATGAGCACAATGTTTTGTATCTTAACTAGTTAGGAGTTTCCTGAGGTTTTCTTAATGCAAGTCCCAGTATTCTTTTTAATTATTACTATTATGCTTATTATTATTGGAATCACAAAAAGCACAAAATCCTACATATTATTATTATTATTGTAGTTTGTTGATCTGATGTTAAAACAATCCTTTACCAAATCTTTTCCATGAGGTAAAAGAAGGTTTTTCTTTGAAAGTTATTGAGAATATTACATTGCGAGAGTTTTTCTCTGTATGTAAACGATACTCATGGGCAGAGTTAAGGGTATCGTGTAATTTTCTTCTTCTTCTTCTTCTTCTTCTTCTTCTTCTTCTTCTTCTTCATGATGATGATGGTGATGATGATAATTTCTGTTGTATACACATTTCTTTCCGGGTCCCAACCAGAGACCTACGGTCAGAAATGGCTTCATGACATTTTCCACTGATCATTTTTGTAAAAACAAAAATAATATTATTATTAGTAGTAGTAGTACATGTTCGGTACCTGTCGCTCCCCGGGCGACAAGATGGTCAAATTTAAAATCCAAATTTGTTTGCCTATTTAAAAAGACAAGAAACGGCTGCACATGCATACTCTCATACTATTTTCCTGATACCCAAGTGTTGTTGCTAGACGGGAAGGAGGAATTAGCCTTTGCGATCCGATGTCCATTTCAATTTCATTTAGTTAGAGAAGGGTTTGCTATCATTTTCTTCTTCTTCTTCATCTTCTTCTTCTTCTTCTTCTTATTATTATTATTATTATTATTAGTAGTAGTAGTAGTAGTAGTAGTAGTGTGATTACAATACTTA